ACAGTTGTATGAGCCCCTAATAAAATGTTTAAAAAAAAATTTAAACATTCACTGAAAAAAAAAATGTTGAATACCAAGTCAATGAAAAAAGAAAAAAGAAATAAATATTTCACAATATATATTAAAAAAAAAGATTTACAGACTCAGTAACTCTACATGGGGTTGCTGTGAGTCAAAATCTACTTAAGGGCAGTGAATTTGGGGTGCTGAAAGAAGTCCTCACATAATGCCTGACACCTACTGAAGTCAACTTTATCATTATGACCATTAGTCAGTTCTGGGCTATCTGCTATCCTCTCCCATCCAGCCTGCCCAATTGCCACCTCTCCTTAGCAAGACTCACAGACACGGGGGCTTTCCAACCTCAGAGCCGACAGGAGGCTGCTCTGTCCCCTGCCAGGAACCCACCTGAAGCCTTTGTCGTCAGTGTGGCAGTGCGCTGCGGATACCAGCCAGTTGGGAGAGATGAGTGAGGCCCCGCAGACGTGGCCCTGGCCCAGGGCGTGCAGGCTAACCTGCCAGGGCCACTCGCCTTCGTCCGCATTCTCGCCCCCGACCACTCGAGACTGTCTGCTGAACGACCGCTGTCCACAGTCTGGGAGGTGCAAAGCGCCCAAGGGGAGGGAGTGTGAGTGGAGGAGACGCCAGGCCTCAGGGGCCCTGGGCCAGACCCGTCCCCTCAGAGCTGGAGCCTGTCTGGGGAATGGGCCGGGCAGGGCACAGGCGAGCCCTCGAGGTACCTTCTAGCCTCTCTGCTCTGCCAGGCGTCCACAGCCCCACCTCCCCCACCCTGCACCAATGCCTTCAGGGCCCCGATCTGACGTGGGTACGGTTTGCGTAGATCCCCTTGTGCTGGCTCAAGGGTGCCACTCTCAGATCAGAGAAAGCAAGGGTGACACGTGGTCCCAGAATGACAGGCAACAAACTAAAGGGCAGGGCAGAGGGCACAATCAGCAGGACTAATGCCCTCCCCTCCAGCAGCAGGTAGGGAGGCTGTCCGTGTCTCAGGGGCAGCCCAGGCATGGCAGCCAGGACAGCATCTGGGCCACAGGTCTGCTGACCACCCAGGCTCATGACCAGAACCACAGCTAACTCCTGACTAGTGCTTTTCAGAGCTGACTAGAAAAAGCCATCCTTGCCTGCAGACAGACACAGTCCCTCAGAGGGCAAAGGTCATGGTGGGTGGGCATGGGCCTGACCCTAGCTGACCCCGGGCCCTGCTCACCACAGTCCTTTTCGTCGGAGCCGTCGCTGCAGTCCTTCTTCCCGTCACACTCAGGGTTGCTCTTGCTCAGGCAGAGCCCACTGTGGCAGCGGTAGGTGTGCTGGGTGCAGGGGACTGTGCTCACTGCTCGAGGGGAGACCAGAGAGGAAGGAAGTCCGCCTCTCCCAAGAGTTTGCCTGAGGCCACTGGACCCGGGTCTCTATGGCGGCTGGTGATCCATCCTGCCTAGAGTCCCTCACTAGGTCCACCCCAATGGGCCAAGCACACACAGCCCACCACCCTGTCCCTGAATGACCTGCTAGAGGGGTACTCCCTCCCAGGAGTACCACGCTCAGCACCCAGGGGGGTGGGCGACCCCACATCACACATCCATCAGGAAGAAAGGCCACGCCCCCACCATCCCACCTCACAGTTCTTGGGTGGGAGCCAGTCTTACCTTTGGCGCACGTGTTCTCGTCAGACCCATCCCCACAGTCGTCCTTCCCATCACACTGCTGGCTCAGCGGGAGGCACTTTCCAGTGC